TGATTATCCTGATACATACAACAATTCTGTACCCTCAGAAGATGATTACCATGATATATCCAATTATTATAACAATTCTGTACGCTCAGATGATAATAATTATATGGCCACTCAATCATGCAACTCAGTGGATGAAGACGAATCAGATAACAATGGAACAGATGATGAATTGCATTTGGAATTGGTAGTTGGTATTTTATTTTCATGCTAGGACTTTTTTAAAGCTTGGCTTAATCGTTTTGCACTGCAGAAAGGGTTTGACTATAAAATTAGGACGAGTGAAGCAGATGATAAAGGCATAATTCGAAGGGCAACCTATGTGTGTACCAAAGCCGGCACTTATAGTCCAAACGTGACAGTTGATCCTACTAAGCGTCGTAATGCTAAGTCTCAAAGGACTAAATGTTCTTGGAAATTATGTGTTACATATCTGAAGACAATAGCAAGAGTAAAAATCAATTCTTTTTGTAATATTCACAACTATTCACTTATCTCTATGGTTAATGAGATTGCTACATGATATCGCAAGTTGACTTCTGATATATTATCAGACATTGAAAAGTATGTAATTCAGGGCAGAATAGACTCAGGGTCAATTTATCCTTTACTTCGACATGATTATCCTAACCATCCATTAAATAAACAGAATTTATACAATGCTGTGTATAATTTTCGACAAATTATAACCCTGGTGACTTGGATGTCTCGTTAATGCTTCAAACGTTATTAAAGTAGAAGGAGGAAAATCCTTTATGGGTAGTTGTACCACATATTGAGACAGTATCAAAAAAGCTAAATTCTTTATTATGGCTATCTCTAGCACAAAAGTTACTTTATGAGCAATTTCATGATATTGTAATTATGGATGCAACTGCAAATACGAACCGATTCCGGATGATGCTTTTTATTGTTGCCATAATTGATAACAATTTTAAAACAAGAATCGTAGCAAATTGTATTATTAAGGATGAGACATTGGATACTTATAAGTAGATTTATGAAACATTGCTTGAGGAGACAGGTGTCATACCTACGGTAAGATTTACCGATAGTGATCCTGCTATGATAAGTGCAATTAAGTTTGTATATCCTACCACCAGTTATATGTTATGCATATTTCACATAGATATGAACCTTAAAAAAAAATTAAGAGGAAAATTAGATTCTCAATTTGAATTATTTTATTTTGATTTTTATATCTGTCGTAATAGTTTATGTATAAGTCTTTTTGAAACTCGTTGGGCAAAACTATTAGATGAATATCCAGCTATTACAAAGTATTTAACTGATACGCTTTATAGTACTAAAGAGTCGTGGGCAGTTCCTTGGATTTATAAACAATTTACTGGAAGGATTCAAAGCACGCAAAGAGTCGAGTCCATTAATATGCATATACACAAAAAAGTTGATTGTGCAACCTTGCTGTATGATTTATTAATTAATCTTAAAGATCATGAAGATTAGGAGAAACATTTAATGAAATTTGAGATTTAGCGCAATATGCTTCCATTTGTTGGTTTACCAATGCTACATATCCATTTTTTTGGTCAAATTGACGATATATTGAAAAATTTTCTTACTCCTATTATGCTTGGTAAACAAAGGGATCAAATGAATACAAGCATCTGCTATGATGTTGTACAAGTTAATAAATGGCATAGTTTAATTGAGGTAAGAATTTTTAACTAATAAATAGATTTGATACTATCTTATATATTATTCTTTTCATAGGGAGACATTGATAATAAAGAAATCGGACTTTGAGTTAGAGAACAGGATTATGATATAAGACAAATTTTATTCACATCTTTGATTGAATTAGTGCCAGAAGAAATGATTATTCAAGTTTGGCATGTTCATGCTACTGGAACTACAGGACATGGACATTATATAATAATCCTTAGAGATGGTACACATTTATGTACATACCTTCTTTTAATAAATAAAGGTTTAATTTGCTATCATTTTTTTCGAGTTGGTATATATTCAGCATTAGCAATATTTCATATAAATCTTATTCCAAGTCGATGGTATTCAGAACCTAATATTATGCCAAATGATCTTCTTCTTCAAATACCAACAATTCCTATTTCTGAGCCTATTCAAAATCAATATCAAGAACTTAGAGTTAATTCAGGTTTAATATTTAATCAGCTTACTACAATTCGATCCAATATTTACGATTCTAACTCTAGATCAAAAAAGCTAGCCAAAATGATTT